ATATATATATATATATATATATATATATATATATATATATTACTATAAAAAAGAAATTATGAACTTACAATTGCTGTCTTTTCAAAATACAATATAGTCAATAATTTTGAAATTTATATATAATGCCTTATCTTCTTTTTCTTTAGATGCTACAGGATATTAGCGGTCATTACTGCGTATTTATTTCGATTTTGTATCTATCTCATCAATATTGCAGAGTCTAAAATGATCAACCACTGTTTCGAATTTCTTCAGAGGAAATTATGTACAATGTATACGCAACCTGCCTCGCACTAAAAAATTTATAAATATTTAATTAATTATATTTTGAAATCAGCCTCTCTGATTTCGAAATCCTAGATATGTGAGAAAGTCGTTGAAGGTTTTGATCCAAACTTTTGGAACTTGTTTAACACCTTATTAAAATGACATAATAATTGCAGAAAACAATGAGAAACTGATGTAGTGTAAAGAAGGCGTTGAAGATTTAATAAGAAGAATCGGGGTAAATTGCAATCATTCCTAGGTGTTGACATCACGTATATATAGATGAAGAATTTCATTTAAGTTAATATACTTATTTGTAGAAAATGTTACATCGTTTCGAGAAGGATAAAATAAAAGTATTGTAATATTACTGGCGTGTAGTAAGAGTGTTATAAAAGCGCGATATATTGTTCAAAGGATCTTTTATTTTTCAGAATTAGTAGTAGTGGCGAGCCAAGTTGAAAAACAAAGAAGTTGAGAAAAGAAGAGTGAAGCGTAGTCAGTTAGTCAGTAGTCAAGTTCGTAATATAATAAATTGTAATATACAGTGAGCTGTATAATACTTTTTTCTGTTTCTCTTTTGCAAATAGCCAACACAAGTTATGAACTTAATACACGTATAAAAGAGAGCAACTATAACGGCTTCGTTTTCGAAGAGAATTTTTGTTCCTATGTGACTGATGTTTGGGTTGTTTGCATCACGTTAAAAACTATTTGAATTTTCAAGTCTCTTTTTGTGTGTGCAAAAATGACCAATTTGAAAACATAAATTGACAGGCTGACAAGCCCAATTAGTTGGACGATGTGAAAACATCAAATTTGATTGTTGTCTAAGCGTGACAGGCTTGCAGAAATCGTAATAGGTAAAGTGGTTTCACCGAATCGACTGAAGAAGCGACGGCAAAACAAAAGAAAGAACTCAAGAAGAAAGATACATATGCTCAATTATTGATTACGTATATGCTGTCGGATGAAATATACACAGTGTGGCCCAGAATTGTGGACAACATTAATCGTATTGGAAGCGCTTAAGAGTATTGCGGTTCCAACCTAGTAACTCGCGGTAGCCGAGAAAAGATGGATTGTTAGACCTTTTCCAATAGAATCGCAAAGCATCTCCCAATGCCACAGATGGCTGACTGTTCGCTGCGGCATCTGGGAAAGGCAAACCAAATATAACGTGATGACAAAATTAAATAAACTTAATCTAACAAAATAAAATTTCATATCCTCGGTATCTTAAGAAAAAAAAAAAAAAAAAACATTGGCGACAGCAAATCTCGCACACAAAATGTAGACTATCCTCGCTCATAACTGATTTCGGCTACCACGAGTTATTAGATTACGACCGCAATATTCTTGAGCGCTTCTTATACGACTAATGTTGTCCACAATTTTATTTGCGGGCAAATAATATTATTTATACTGAAGAAGGTTTGAATTAGAAACCGTTTATACACATCAATTTGTGTGTGTTGCATGATTCTTATATAATTAAATTATTTTACATACTACTATCCGGTGTTTAGCTCTTATTGGCCTTGCTATTGTTGTTTTTTTATTTCAATCTCGGAGCCTAATTAATTATATGTTTGTTTCAAATATTCCATTTCTCTATTTTCAATGTGTATTACGGAATATTGTTGTCAATTTACTGGAATACCCAGGTATCCTGATTAATATCTAAAAGACATGATTGTCTAAAAAGATTCGGATATACGAGTAGTTTGACATTGACAACACTATTGCAAAATGTTTTTATGTATATATATTTTAGTATAAATATTCTTTTTCGCAATTATGTGAATTTTCTGTGGGTATATTAATTATCATGAAAATTTAAGGAAAACAGGACAAAAATTATATATTGTTATCAAAATAAAAAAAAATTATGAAGTTTAGATTACAAATATATATATTTTATATTAGCTACTTTTAAATCCTATAAAAATATTTCAGATTTTCTTAGAAATGTAAAATTCTCTAAAAATATCTCAGAAATATTGAGAAATATAACTGTTTGTTTCAAAATTTCCATTTAAGTTTTTTATATGTTATTTATATATGTCATATAAAAAATTTTCGAATTCTCACGAAACTCATGATACAACTACCTTAATTAAATTCATTTACTATTTCCACGATATGTTGAGAATGATCTAAAGTAATTGCTGTGTATGCATGCAGCAAACATGCAGCGCAAGCCTTTCGAAATTTGCTAACTAAACGACAACAATAAAATAACTTCTGCAATCAAGAATTATTAAAGGCTGGCTAAAGTTGATTGATAAAGTTGGTTGATCAGTCATCTAATATAAATTGACAAAAGGGTAACGAATGGAGAACGAATGGAGAACAAACTAACACTAAACTTTTTTCCGAGTCTTGCAGCTGATTGTATAACATAACATTTTTCTCAAGGTAAGTTAAACAATCGAGACTTGTAAAGAAGTAATGAATCGGTTGTAACATCGAGGAGATATCGAGGAAATCGCAACCCAGTAAGCAAAAAACATTACAGCAATATTATTATGACATTATTCAATAATAGTAATGTTTTCAAATATATCGCTTTTAACGTTGTATAGAATAACGTACAAACAAATTTACAAACAAATTTTGACATTGATTTGGAAGTTATTGTAATGTTGATATTATATATGATTATAACGTTGTAAGTAAACGTTGCATTCTTTTTAATATTCTGGTATTCACTTTTTCTGTATATATTGATGTCTTCTATAAAAAAAATAATAATAATAGATTTACCCATGATAGTGGTCTAAGCAAATTAATATTTGATCGCTTTGTTTAAATAAATAAAAAACTGATATCTCTTAGGTTACATCATTTCGCTTCGTACGTTTTTTTCTCCGTTTCGACTTCATAGCGATCACCATCTTTGTTCTGACTATGCTCTTTATTGCTTAATTTCGATAATCAAAGAAGACTGGTGATGCCAATAAACTCTGACGATATCTTTATATATTTTGCTAATAATATATTCTTATATTATTCAAAAAATATTGTAATTACATATTTGCTGGCAAATGTTGGAATAATGCAACAAAAATTAATATGTGACGGATATTGTTAAGATGTATATTAGTGAACCATTGACAATATGATTGCTTTTAAATTTTTAACCAGATATTAAAATAATTAAACAATAAATTAGTTTAAAAATACAAGGCATAAAACAATTTAAATCAATTATGAGAAATTTTATCATTTTCGTTATCAAAACGTTTAAATTATTTAAATTCAAATATTATTTAAATTATTTTAGTAGAAAAAGTAAATGTTATTTCTCAAATTCATTTATAATATTCGATTTAAATGAGACATTGTTGATGAGTTTATTATATCCTAACCAAAATAGCACAAGACGTTTTAGAATTATCTTAAACATGTGAGAGTGTCTTGGGAAACGTCCAAAGTTTTCTAAGTACATCTAGGACGATTCTAGGATTGTGTTATCTGGGAAATACTGTACTGAACATCGTTTACAATTAAGTTAAGCACATAATTGATTAATTTCACTATGTACAAATTATTCGCTGATATGTTGTATTTATTTTTAATAAACGTGTTATGGTAACATTAACCAAATGTTTCGACTCATGTCTTTAAAATATTCTACTCATGTCTAAAAATATAAAAAAGCAATGTTATATTAAATAATATTTGTAAAACATTTATAAAACATTCAAGAACGATTAAAAAATTATACATAATATCAACGTTAAAAAATGTAGACTCTAGGTTTCTTGCTTACTGAGGATGTGAAGGTTCGGCAAGGACTCGTTCATATCGATATCGAGTTTCTCGTGCAGATCGCAAGTCAGCAGAATAAATAAGAAGAGCTGCGCAATAAATCAAGCGAAAGAAAGAACTCAGAGCATTCCGTGAAACAACTTTCGGGCTTTTCGAGTTACCTTGCAAACCGACACCGGAGTTTCTATGACAGAGATTTCGGGGCTGATCGATATGCTTTTGAAGCGTATGATGGTGGTTGTTGTTATTGTGATGGTGGTAATGATGATGGCGATGATAGCTATGGTTATTCGGGTGATGATTGTAGTGATTGTTGTGATGATTTGGGAGATAATAGTTGGAGGGGGGCTGGCGACTAGAGTGCCTGGCAGCCGGTAGCGGGTGCTGGTGATGGTGCTGATTGATGTGATGGTTGGCATTGGCATTGGCATTCGCATTGGCGTTAGGGTGAGATCCCGGGAGGAACTGTGGATACACGTGGTGAGACCACTGTGGAAATAGAGGCCGCCCTCCTCCACCACCATTCCCATCTGCCGAGGAACCACATTTACCACGTTATCGGGTCGTGCGTTATATCACTTCTATCGCTCGTGATCCATAATATAATCTCGATACTGCTTTTCACTCTACGCATTCGATGAGTAAAAAGAACCGAGGAGATTACGACCACGATCGGCGTCTGCAGCTCTAAACACTCAGTTGTGAAATTATATTTTTGTCAGTCTTCTCACGCGAAGAATTCATAACTATGTTGTTGAATTAATAATTATCTAATACAGAGAGTTTCTCGGTGAAATATTTAAGGATCATAGACAAACATATTAAATAGTGGATCAACCTATAGAATTAAACTCTTACTGAAATTATAATTAACTCATTCCGTTTACATAGAGTGAAATTCAGTACGTGGAAATTTAAATACGTATCGTATTTTAATACGTATCGTTTCATAAATTGTAAATAATTGTAAATTGATGATGCTCGTTTTCGATTTTCCCCGTGAAATATGGATTTTAACATGATTTTTAATAAGAAAACGATAACATCGCTTGCACATCGATTTGAAATATCTAATTAAACACTCGTAGCGCTTTATCGAAATAATATTTAATAACCGGAGTGTATAACATTCTTGATAGAACTGGTTTCATGGCATAATCGTTTGTTGGTTTGTCAAACATCCAAGTATTAATTGTGTAACAGCAGTCATAGAGACATCTAGTTTCCGAGAAAATTCCTCACATAAAGAAGTTTCACATTCAAGAAAATACAGTCACAATAATATAACGACGTAAAAGTATATTTATAACGCAAAGTAGTGCAAACACATTCGACAAACATCAAAACTCTCACTGTCAGATACATATAAGATGTTTACTTCATACAGTGCAATATAACACATGCGTGTCTACTTGGTGTCATGTGCTGTTGTTTCAGTTGCAGCTACATCGTTTCTGGTGCACAGTGTTGAACACTACCTACATATCTGTACACATATGTCCACTCTATTTATAACATCTATATTGTATATCTCATTCATTTCAAACATTATTATAACGGAAACTGCTTCAATTAGCTAAACCGCCGCTGAAAAATTACTAAAATATTACATAATGATTTTTGATAACGGTTAGTCATCGTTAATCCAAACTTTAAAGACTCTTTCTCATTTATCTAAATATGCTAACTATAATAGCTACGTTATCACGAAATACATACCCAGCAAACACAGAGTATAATTGCTATATAACATAGACGTAATCTTGTTATTTCTACGTTATACAGCAGTTATGTTTATGTTTGTTGAGATATTGTAAATTTTGCATTTAAACGTTAATATAGCTGCATTTCATGCTACGGGAACTAATTGTGAATTAACACTTGTTAACACCAATCAAATTTAACTTATGTACTTATGTATATGATAGTTTTTTTAAAAAGAAAGATAAGAGAATATATATATATCTGACACATAAGAGTTTTGATTAAACAGAAAGTTCTTTTAAGATCTTACATCTTTTACGTTTATTAAAGATATATATGACGTGATTTAACTTTTTAGCGAATCTTGCGATCTGTTTATTTACAAATATTATTTTTCAGTTAATACAAGGACGAGTTCTCACCTGAAGGACTACCTGGCCTGAGACCGCCACCATTCGTCTGTATTGTTTGCACTGGACTAGGAGGACGCTGTGATATCGGTGGTTCCAATATGTCACGATATTTAGAGACCATTAATACAGAGATGAAGTAAACTATAGCTAAGGACAGAAACTGTGCCTGCTTGGTTTCTTCCTGAAATCAATGTAACCAATTCGATTTGCTTAATCAGTTTTCTGTCTTACACATAGTGTCTTATACACAACTGTGTTCTACATTGTTATGCAGGGTATTTTCTAATTCGAGTACTTAGAGAATGCTTCCGTTCCTTTTGATAGTACAAAAAAAAAAAAAATCAAAGAAATGGATTATTCAGTTCAAAAGGACAAATATTCTAATAAGCGAACATTTTTTTAATTTATATTTTGCGGAATCTCAATGAGATCGACATTTTATAAAAAAAACTTAAAATAAATGAGAGAATATATAGATATATTGAGATAAACTCCATTTTTTCAGAATCCCCAAGGAAAAAATATTTCTGAAATAAAAGAAGTATATATTTATATCAAAACACAAATATTAAACAATTCTTTTTCCTCATAAAAGATTATTTTTGTCATTCAAAGTCAAGGTTAGAATCAATATATCCCATGTTGAATTTGTATTTTTTATGAGCTACATCACTACGTTAATGAAAATATCTAACCTTATTAAAACAATTTCAAGGATCTCAAATTTTTGCAAAAGAATTCTCGCTTCTCAGAATATTTACCTTTTGAATAATTTTTCCTTAAACATTTTTATATATGATTAACTGACATATTCTAGGTGTTTGAGTTCAAGGAACCATCATATACAATAAAGAGAATTACTCACAACATCTCTGTATATTACAGCTCTCAAACGATTTACGTCCATGTCTTGCAACAATTTCTCCGGGTCCTTTACAGGACTCAACTGATGCGTAAGATTATCCACGATGTTCTGTAAATGAATATTGCTACACATTATTAAATATTAATAAGTACAAAAGGAACAGGTATTCTTCAGCAATAAAGAACTTTGTATTCTAGAAAAAAAGGAAAAAAATACCACATGTTTGACGTTCATTAGTAGCGCTACAGTCGTTATACTAAGTTCGATTAGATAAAACGTACCTTAGGTGATGTTTGAGCTCCACGTATGAGCGACTGTATGTGTTGCGATTTATTACTAGAGCCAATCTGCCGACCTAACATGCTGTACGACCTGCCACGTTCTTTACACTCTAAGCAGTTTCTAACGGCACATGTACAGACCTATAGAAGCAGTTTATTAGGTATATAAATATAACTATAATTTGCTATATAAATATAGTAAAGGGTATCGTGTAGAGATAATTAATGTCTCTAATGAAAGTATATCGATTTCTAAGGATATATTACGACTAGAGTTGGGAATGAACACATTACTTATAACGCGCCGTTATCGTTACTTTTTTCAATAACGTTCGTTACTTTTTTCTGTTTGTAACGGTAACGTCGTTACATTTTTACAATAACAATAACGAATTTAACTGTTACTTTTATCGTTACTTTATTCTAGTTATCTCTATTCAATAGATAATGTGTTAGTCGCGCACTGATAACGTGTGTATTAGATATTCTTGATTGGATAGAAATATTTTAATATTCACTGGAAGACAGTATGTAGTTTTATCTTATTCTTCACGTAAAAATAATTGTTAATGCAAAGTCGGATTTCGCAATTTAGAGCTGTTCAAAATTTTTAATAAATTTAATAATAAGTATGCTTAGTATAATTCACCCTTTTGTAAGAAACCATGGAACAAGTGTATGTATTATATTATCATTAAATATATTTTTTGTGTGTGTATTAGCTATTATTAAATATATTAAAAATTTGTAAGAACTAAATTGCAAAATCTGACTCTATACCGTTAATAATTTTTGTATAAAGAATAATAAAAGATAGAATCAAACTCATAAAGAAATATTAGTTCTCCGAGTCAGAATTATTGTAGTTTTGAATGGTTTGTCTTTTTTAGATGGCTACATTCCCAACTCTGGTTACAACTATCTCACACATTATACGTTTTTGAAAACTATGACTATACATAAGAAAAAAAATGTAACATTAATGTAATAATTATAATGAGTTTTTTCCTCCTAAAAGAGTCTCCGTATCCTACAAATTCTATGTCCTGTTGAATGCATTGAGAAAATTAAACGCAATTAATATGTGCACTAATATATTTTTCCTACCAATAGATCGATAATAATTTGCTAAATAATATATCATTACTTATATCTCGTTATAAATTCGCATGAGATACCTTATGGACATTGATACAAACCAAGCGTAAACATTGCCGTAATATGCCGCCACTCGACATATTTTTCTCAGCCTCCAGTTCTCCAAAGTTTAACGAGCTGGCGAATATAAGCACATCAGCCATGTTGACTAATCTTTGCAGAAATGAAACTGCCACCTCGATTGGCATCCCTTGAGTTGGCTCGATTACGTCCAGTTCGCTCTGAAAATGTTCAGGCAATAAAAACACATACTGAAATATATCTACTTCTCCTTCTGAATCCCTTAGTCAAGTGGCTTAATGATAATTTACATACATTTGGCGAAGTAGCCGACGCTAATAAGGGCAACAGACCACCGCAGGCTATTATGAGATTGTCGGCTAACTGCGAAATTAGATGGACAGTGTTCACCACGAAAATGGCATTTTCGCTGCTGTTGACAAAATCCAATACCGACTTAGTTGAGTGGCTGTAACATGTAGATTAATATATAGAACTCTGCCAAAGATAAACGTTGTCAGTATGTAGCCGTATTTTCCTACCTTCTCCACACTTGGATGTCTGTTTCCAAGGAAAACAGAACATCCGATAGCAATCGTTGATGTATGTAAGACCATTTGAATTCCGGTATTCTGAAGGGAGGTCGCGTTGGACCCGGGCTGAACATTGGTCGTGTGGAGGGATTTCCTTGTTTTGATCTCTTAGCTTCTGTGATAAAAAAGATAAAGAAGAACGGTAAAAGATGTTCGTTTTTTATAATATGTATTTAGAATTGAGTTAATTTAAATTAATCTTTTTCTTAACTAAGTTAAAATTAAAGTTAATGACGTTTAAAACTAACTTATATTAAAGTTAAAAGTTAATTTTGTAAAACGATATATGTTTTCTACAATAATTTTTAATTGTAGATTAATTTTATGTAAAATAATGAAAAGAAAATATTTTAAAAGAAATATCAACTGTTTTGTGTTTAGAATTCTATACAAAAAAAAAAAAAGAATACTGACGTTCAGACAGATAAAAAAAATTCTACTAGCTTTTTTAGATTTTTCTTCTTCTACAATCTACATTGCAAGCAGTTTGCAATGGTTTTAGTATTGATGAATTATTTTAATTCCTCTCTAAAAAAAAGCATGTAAGAGATTTAATTGTTGTCGCTTTTCCGCGATGCTGATTGGTTCTCTCGCTTAGTACTCTCTCCTGTCTCTCCCTGTCTCTCCCTGTCTCTCCCTGTCTTTCCCTGTCTCTCCCTGTCTCTCCCCGTCTCTCCCTGTCTTTCCCTATCTCTTCCTATCTCTCCCTATAATTATTAGTTAATTAAAGTATATTTTAATTTAATTTAATTTTTATTTTATTTTATTTTACATTTTTTATTATTTTTCATTAGCTATATGGCGCGCGCATGTATTGTTCTAGTCATATATAAAAAAGATTAATAAACGAAAATTATATAGTGTATTTTAAAATAACCAGATTAAATTAAAAGTTGACTTATCTAAAATTAACTAATTAGTAGCTTTTTAATTTAACTATTAACTGATTAACTAGTAATTATCCAACCTTGCATGTCAGATTAAAACTCGACTTGTTAACATACCGAAATGATTCGAATCCACCTGCGTGGACGTTGAGGCACTCCTTGGTCGTTTCTGTGGTGACGATGTCTTTCGTAAGGGCACAGGCAAGGAAGGTGGCTCGTGACCGTTATCATCCACGGCCGTGTCTGTGGATACAATTGGCAGGCTGGATCTGCGGTGAGTGTTTACGTGATCTGGAGTTAAGTCATTCAATAACGCATTGTCTCTGGCAACCACATTAGAACTAACGATTTGAGGCACACCGTCGGATAAACTTTTAGTTGCATCACAGACCGTAGATATTGTTGGGATTTGCTGTTTAGGATTTGGCACTTGCGTCACGTTATCTACAGAACTTTGAACATCGCTATTACTACAAACACTATCTGTTACTTCTACCTCGCCGGTCATCGCCGGAACATCTGGCTTATTATCACTTACGCTAGTAGAAATAGTGGACGGCTCCCTTGAGTGTTTCTCATTTACCTGCGCGTCATCGTTATCAATAATAACAGCACTTTTGTTCTCCGTTAAAGTATCCACGGCGCATTCGTCACTACTTAACTCACTATTCACTACTATTGGTTCCGCCTTCACTTCGTTCTCTAGATCTACCGCGTCCGCATGAGCCTCGCCGCTTTCTTCTACTATGCTAGTTGAGCAATTAGGACTTTTTACAGTTTCCTCTGTATCGTTCTCGCCGGTCTCTGACACGGTATCCCTGTCCTCGGGAGTGTCCTTCCTCTCGACGGTGTCGTCTTCAACCTTTTCGCCTTCGGACGTTCTGCTTCTCATCTCGCTTGAACTCTCGTGATTCTCGGTTGGCGTTAAGTACGCTTCTGACGTGTCGCTGTCGACTATCTCGCGGTCGTTTTCTAGCTGGAGCTTCTCGATCACCTTGACCGTCAGCGCTTCTCGCGTCTCGTCAGAAAGGACAATTGGCACAGTGTCTTCTTCGGTGTCGACGTCGTTCTTCGTAACAGCAGACTCGGTCGCGTTCACGATCGTCGTCGCGGTCTCGATCGATTCTTCCGTGGTGGTCGGGGTGTTACTGTCGTCGGTCGCGACGGTATTTTCCTCGACAGATTTATCCTCCTTCGTCGATTTATCTTCAAGTTTATCCTCCTTCGTCGTTTTCGCTTCCGTGTCCGCGTCCGGGGGATTTTCAGTTTTGTCGGTGGTCGTGGTAACTGCATCGGCCATGTCAGTGTCTTCTGTAATTTTCTTCGTATTTTCAGTCTCGACAGCTGTCGCGTTTGCGCTCTCTTTAATCTGTTCGGTCGAAGAGGGCTCGGTAACGGCTGGAGGCTGCTTCTCGTGAGTTGTGTGTTCCTCTTTCTTCGGTGTGTCCTGGACTATCATTGAATCGGGACTGGAACTCTCGATTTTGTGTACTTCGCTGTAAAAGTCGCTGGAGCTCTCAATCGATATCACCTCGCTGGTTTCCTGCGTAGTTGGCAACGAGACAGCTTCGCTATTCGCTTCCTCGAGAATGGTCGGCGTTTCCGTGTGAGTCTCGCGCGCGGTAGTCGGTGTTTCTGGTTTGTCGCTCAATCTGGAGTCTAACGACACCACTTCGCACGACTGGAGGGTATCCAGAGTCTCGCTGTGTGACTTCACAATGGCCGGACTACCGTCGCTCTCGGTGTTATCTATTGAGTTGAGGTCGCAGCTACAGGACTCCTCTAATCGGTCGTTCGTCTCAGACACGTCGAACTCCTGCACCGTAATACGAGACATCATTAAAACCGACAAACACACACTTTTAACCTTCGCAGAAAAGTATAACTGGTTGGTCAATAACAAGTTACTGTGATAAACTTTCCATAACAACGAAAAAAATAAATATATATTTGTTCGTGGTAAGAATTCTAGTAAGAACTTTTAAAATAAGAATTTTTATATATCTTTTTATATACTTTGTATTTTTCAAATTATTTTCTCCAATTCATTATAAAATTTAGCTTGAAATTATAACCTAGTCTTCTTCTAGTGTTAAAAAGAAAACATTTTTTGTTGAATACTGTGGAATCACTAAATCATTCAGCCATGATTAATCACTACTATTTTCTTTAGAAATTACCAGTAATACTTCTTTATAAAGAAATTTTTTTTGCGCTCGTATACGAGTTACCTCAACAAGTGACGCTGAATCGTGAGATAAGGCGTTCGCAAATATGAAAACTCAAAAATCACTAACTAACAGTAACATTACAATGTTATAATTTTCCAGTCAGCGATATAACTGTTACATTACATGTTATTTTGCACATACATTGTTGTGTAAGAAATCATAACATAATGTTACTTATAATGTTACTTTTACTTAGCGTTTTCTGGGGAATCGCTATGGACGGGGAAGGAAATGACTGCTAAAATAGAATATAAATCGTACGCCTTGCAAAATTACCTTGTAATTTCTATCCATATGTTGTATTTCGTGACTTTGTTGATTGCCCCACGTCGACGGTCTGTTGTAGCCGTTATTGCCGGAGTGTTGTTGATCCCAGCCGGAAATCGTGCTGATTGGTCGCTGTTGTCTAAGTTCGGGGTCCGTGATGTTGTCGGACCTCTGTCGCTCGTAATGCTCGTACATTTGAGCAAATTGAAGTTTGAACTCCTCGTAGGATACCTGAGTAATTGAAAATCGTAGGAAAGTAGATGGGTTTCCTAACTTCTGCCTTCTGGCACGTCGAACGATATTTTGAGCAACGCATCTCGCTAACTAACTTACTTTGGAGTGCACGATAGCCAACGTGTCAACCCACACGCGCCAGCCGCCATATTCATGCTTGATAGCGTGATGAAGGAGCATGCGAAACAAGGAATACACCATATCGGATATCTTCTGCTCCTCCGTATTTTTCGGATGGATGTAAGCCATGGCAATAAGCCACTCTTGCCACACAGACATCTGCAGAACCGTCCGTCGATTCTCCCGATTGTTGTTGCACAGCAGCGTCATGTCCGAGAGAAACAGCTTCTTCACTTCCAGCAATTGCTCCGTTTGCTTGGACTGTCGAATTAGTGTTGCTACTACTTTCAGAATCACTGAAACATAAAGAATATCGAAGATAATAGAGGGTGCTAAATACATACAAGTGGAATGCATTTTTGACTTAAGTAAATGATTACAAATTGATTGTCAGCTTACTTGGATTCTCCAGACGATAGTGGGATTCAGGCTCGGGGTGTCTGGCGTACAATATCTGTTGACTGATGTGTTCCGTCATAATCTGAAATTAATCATGAAGCGAAAACGGCAATAAGTAAAACATTTAGAAAAACAAATGTTAATGTGGTAAGAAAAAATAATGTAATAAGCGAATACCTCGTATAAAACATTATACGTCGGCAATGAGAGCGTTTCCTCGTTCAACAAGAGTCTTTCGGCTAACAAAGTGTACAGATTATGTGGGCTCATAACATCGTATTTCCTTCTATTAAATAAGATCGTTATTTATTTTATAATGCGTCCTCCTGCTATGGTATAAGTTACTCATAAAAGAATCACTTACTTGTGTGTACTGCGACTGAGGAAGAATCCTAGCAATTTTAACGCTTGCAAGCGTATTAGTTGGCTCTCGGCCGCCAGGAGTTTGAAAATCGTTCGTACGCCTTGCTTCGCATCAAATGCGGGCACCATTGATGAAGGATGTTCCGACATCAAAGATATGAGCATTTGTAAGACATCATGAAGATTTTCGTCCTAAAAGAGTCGTTGTATGGCTTGTAAAGTGTGCGACATAGTATAATTGCTAAATTAATCAATGTATTAATTTACTGACTAAATAATAATTCACTAATAACTAGTTAATTGAAAATTACCTCGTGCATTGTTGTTAGATAATTGAGGATGCTCTGCAATTCGTCATCCTTTACTCCGTTTCCGATCATTATTAATTGTTTTAAAAATAATAAAATGTACGAACGAATCGTAAGAATGTCTTTTTGTTGCGGGCGAGGTCCATCTGCAAGAAATACGTTTTCATGCAAATTTGTTATTGTACTTTTGTTTAACGGGAATAAATCGACATTTTGTAGAGATGCTACTTGATTAAGTAAGACGTACCAAGTCCCTTTGGTGTTATTCCGCTTTTGGATCGAGGATTAGCTACCCAATAGTAATACTTAAGAGTGTGCACCGTTTGTAAAACTGTCGACACACGTCTTACGTTGGAATATATCTGCGTGTCGCTAAGAAACTCTGTAGCCAGATACGAATAGAGTCGTGTTTGTACCGGTGCTGGCGTATATATCCATAAAGCGGGATTAAAAAGGACGTGATCCAGTAGCTGCCATGTTAGGAATGAAAAATAAAAGAACTACATCACCATGGATCTGCCTGTTCTTCGGACACACCAATCTAGCCGACTTTTATGGTTTCCTGAACCGCTTTATAGATGTGTAAATTTGTGTAATTGACGCGATCTTAGGTGAGATTTAGAATACTCAACGTACATATGTGTAAAGTACTATTTTATATGTATGTGCGTGCGCGCACGTATGCGCGCGCCGTGTATATGTATAATAAAATAGTATTTTGAAAAATATATGTATAGTAAAAATGTCTGATATTAAACAGATCCTGCACAAACAATAACAAATAATATGTATATATATATATATATATATATATATATATATATATATATAAAATTATAGGATCGAATATTAAACATGGGTCGCATTGAGCTTATGGGTGATTGAAAGCAATTTGCTGATGGCATTGCTGTTACACATAACAATAATTATTACAAGAGATCACTGATGAATATGGAATGTTATGAGTGCAGACAGATGCTCGTGCATTTATGTTGAACTCTGAGGGAAAGAATGAGAAAAACGAATGTGCCCAAATAGAACAAAAAATCATGATGACATCAAAATGACGAGAAAATTATTGAATAAAAAATGAGTTTTTTAGTCAATTCCTCGTCATTTTGACATCATTTTGACATGATCGTGATTTTCTGTTCTGACTGGATAAGACTATACATATGGATTTGTACATTCTGGAAGAATTTCGTTTTGTATTTACATAATTATTTTATATTACAAAAGGTGCGATGATTTACAAGTAAAATGCAACCATGTATGTTTTATACTGAATACCAAATTGCAAATTAATTAAACGTATATTAAAATGCTTGATATTTAAGTAGTGTGAAATTCACTCCAATATGTTAAAAAAATTTATAGCAGTCGGGAATAAAATTTCGTGTAACAGCGTTTTAATGATAGAGAAAGAAAGAGAGAGAGAGAGAGAGAGAGAGAGAGAGAGAGAGAGAGAGAGAAAGAGAGAGAGAGAAAAGAGAAAGAGAAAGAGAAAGAGGGAGTGCATATTCGAAGATATAAAATCATAATTTTTTTATATAATAACAAAGATAGAAAATTTTTAGCGTCGCAAAACAAGAATCACAAATTTCGATGTGAAAGCGACACATTATGAACAAAATACTTTGCGTAGGCATTTTCTTAAATCAGGAAGCTCAAAAGTCGGTAGATTGCATGCGATCCAAAGTTCGAGTAACATAACAATGATCGAAGAAAGATGTGTGATCATGCTCGAGAGGCTCGTGGGGGAGTCTTCAACAGTTTTAAGAGCACAAAACAAAATGCACATTAAACACATACATTAATACGCACGTAAAAGACATCTCCAAACATTTCAATAGGAGCAATCGTGACAAAAGCGTAGAAGCTATTGCATTATGTAGCGAATTGGTGAAACAGGATGCGTCGGCATTAACAATTCAATTGATCAAATTGAACGTAAGACTAGACTTTTATATAGTCGATTGAATATACATAAGGCAAAGAGTTATATAAACGTGAGAAAAGATATTGCCAGACGTACGCGATGGATAAAGATATACTTTTGCATATAAATTACGCAAGAACTTAATAAACAAATAATAATATATCAAACATTTTTCGAAAACATGAATAAATTGTTACGACGCAACATTAAATATCGTTTTGTGATCTTCAACTGATTTTCCAGTTACTTCCGCGAGAAGTACTTCAGATAATTTTTCCTATATTCATTTCCTTTACTTATTTATTATGTCAACGATATTGGAATATTAATTCAAAATTTAATAACCTTGACAATTTATTAATTAATAGGTCGGTACCTGTTTCAGTAATAGATCGCTGTTTGCGCTGAGGCAAGTAACCAAATGTTTGGTGAGCTCCAAGAAGGATGCGAGAACCTCTGTAGTGAGGTGATCTCTACTCGCTTTCTGCAGCATGAAACTGATTACCAGAAATCCTCTATTTTGTACCATGTGTTGTTGAACCGTCTGAGAACTTTCCACCAGGTCACAAATGAATCCGAGCAGTTTTGAACTGGAAGGTGCGACGTGAATGTCACTTGTTAATGATTCCATTCTCTCATAGGCGCGTAGCATCTCGATCATGATAACGATTAGCATTGAGATTTACCATAACGTGGGATCACGCTTAACGTCGTTCGGTGCTATGCAGTCGTAAGGCATGTCCAACTGCGAGAACAACGGAAACAGCACTTGTATGCCGCCTATCGAGTTTAATGTACTGTGAATCGAGTGCGTTATGACTGCCTTGACATCCTGAAAGCCGAAACAATGATTTCTTATGAATTTTAATGCGCCGCGTCTGAAATTTATTTCACGTGCGCCCTTCGTGAAATCGAGCCATAACGTATGAACCATCGAGGGAGAACTGTGTATATAACTATACGTGTTTCATAGCGCGTAAACTCCGGTCAAGATCGTAAATAACATTACTGAACTATATACCTGTAGCATGAGAGCGTGCGGTGTATGTACAAAATAGGAGACGTTGCCTTTCGGTGCACTCTGCAAACAAAGCTGCGAGTCCGTCGCTACCGGATTGTACATGAACACAATTGCATTCGACAGCTTCCCATCGTAAAGTACCTGAAATATCATGTACGAATTTGAGTAAATATTTTCCACGTCCGCAGAAATATTACTGTAAGATCGAAGTAAATGCTCCTGCTTAAAAAATCCGATAAAAATTGATAGAGATATACCTAAACTTCATTAATACCCATATAATACATAATAATATTCATATAATACCCATGTAATATTCATAAATACTCATATGACTTTACTTGAACTTATTATTTCTATCGGATCTGCACACACTCGCACATATTTCAGCTGATATGAAAAAGCTATGAAATTCTTTCGTTTTTTTATCGTAACTTAAATGATTAAATATCTGAATAAATAAATTTTTCTATATAATCTTATGATATTATCTTATTTTAATTAACAAATTACAATTTGGTATTTATATGAATCTAATAAAATAATTTAATGAAAAATTCTTATATATTTATTGTACTGCATTATATTACTGTATTGTATTATATTATATTTTTCTATTTGTTATTTTTCTTATTGTTATAGTACTGTGTATTATATTGTAATATTTATTAAACTGTATGTTATAGAAAAATAATCGGATCCTATACTTTTAATATAAAATGAAATTTATATCAAAGAGTAAAACGTATTTTTATCAAAATTCCAGCTTTATCAAAAACATTGTAAACATTGAAATCTAATTTTAATATAATTTTTATTTACCATATTTTCTACAATATTTTACTGCAATGCGTATAGTAGTTATAGGCGGCAAATAAATAATAATTATGATATATCTTTTCTGAGAATATTTTTTATAAGTTTGGCGAGATTATGAAAATGGTTGTAATTTGCTTACAATATATAAAACATCTATATTTTGCAAATAATGTTCCTAACATGTTCAAGAATTCATCATTAATACGTGTAATCAGCAACAAAGCGGGTTTTTAAATATTAAAATCTCAATCAAGTATCAAAATAATTCTTTTAGATCCAAAGGAAGTTCTTGTTTCCACGCATTCTAATGTCAACACAGTCAGATAAATATTAATTAAACATGATATATTAATTGTAGGATAAATAACGAAAAAATAGATAAATTGTCGACATTTCTGATACCGCTCTGTTATTTATAAATAAAAAACACGATTTAGTTACATAACATTTTTTTACCTATTGGATTTTTTAAGTAGGTGTATTATAACAAGGTCAGTTATTATCGATCTTACTAGGATATAATAAATATCTTGGGTTCTTTCTACTAACTACATAATAGGATACACAAGAAAAACACAGACATATTCCGCGTAAATCAACAGTTAACACAATGCTTAATTGTAATTCATATACCGCTACTTTCTATCAATAAAAAGAAAAAAAGAAAAACAAAAATATCCATTGCTGTTAAATCATACCATCCAAAATAAAATTTATATGTAAAGGCATGTTACATGTAAAGTCAAAGCGATATTACAACAGAGATACATTATATGTAACGTTACGTATACAACGTATGCAACGTTAACGTACAGGTTCGCTATGCGGGAAACGGCATCCACTAATTAAGAGAGACAAGCGCCCAACAAGGGAAGGAAAAGTAAAGTCGTAGATACGGATTACTTAACAGGCAATAATACAAACAAGGTTCCGTAATTACAATATCTTACACTTGATCGGCACAAATAATACAAAGCAAATCAATATATAAACTCATCGGCCACAACAACCGCCGAGAAAGTGTGTTCGTAATTTAGGTAATTACCTCAGACGAACTCGTACGCAGTAACAGAGTACTTAACGAAGTACAAATCATACGTTAACGGGAGAAAATAAAATCAAAATGCTTACAGTTTGCATACTTTGGTCCACCATGCTCGTGAGATCCTGGTCACTCACCCTTTTATGATTGTCGGGTAGATTCAAGTAGCACTCGTTGTCGAAACGAAACTGGCTCTACTCGCGCGGAACCGGCAAGGGAGAAAAGAGAGAAGAAGACGGGTGATGAAATGAATATACGCCGTCCATGAATACAAAACGAACGTCTGCGACCGATTAAAGATTTATACCTTATATCCCGGTCCCAGTCTGTGCATCGCGCATATCTGATGCGTCGTCAGCGCTTCGCTGAACAAATATATCGCACTCATCTGTCCGCAAAACACGCGCTCCTCGTCCAGTTCAGGAGTCGCTCCGATGTAGCATTTGTCGAAGGGCTATAAAGAGCGACACGCGTTATCTTCTCTCAGATCATCATCGACGAAAGGTAGTTACGATCGGAATCATACACGGAGCTTCCACTTACGTCATTCGTCGAGACGAACCATGCCATTTCCGTGCTCGACGCTAATTGACCGTTGACCAGACACTTAATTTCACTTTTTGTCCACCTATTGTATATGTACACTACCGCAATCATATACCACTGTAAGACACAAATATTAACATCATCGACTGATGCGTTAATACCGGCGTTGCTCTCGCGTTAAGTTCTTTGACCCCGAGTGGCAAAGTAACATCAGAAGATAGTCATATTGATGCAAAATTTACCGCTTTTCTGACGTCATTTTGCTACTTGGATCGTGAATTATGTAAAACTTCAGCGCAAAACGATTAGGCATATGTCAACTCGAGAAGCATTAGTTAAATAGCGTGTCTAATAGCGTACCTTTCGTGGCTGAAATTCGTATTTGACACAATGTTGGAAGCCCTTGCCCTTTACTTTCATAGAAGTCAGGACTAAGCAGTTCCCTACGAAATGCGCAGAGTATCCTACTCCTTTGCTTGTTTTAAAGCTAAAATAATGACGGAGCATTATTACTTTTCTATCCGCGACGAAGCAGTTTCGTTTACACCCCTCTGCCCTGTTGTCCTACTTCTACCTTTTATTCTTTAAAGTGATAGAAAGAAAGAGAGGAAAAATGGAAGTGAAATGTGTATGTACAAATATACAGTTGGAAATTATCTCTACGCGCTTGTGTATGTGTGTATGTATATGTAAAGTTAGACTAAACCGTGAGAGACGATCTATAGTTGAAGCAATGTTTTGTTTCGCAGTTATATATGCAAACATCTCCCCTTTAATGAGGAGATTCTATCGGAAAGTCTGAACGCTTTCTTCAAAGTTGAGAAACATAAGTGATTCTTTAGGGCTGCCTGCTCCACCTGGAGAGGGTGTTTTCGTGAGGGTGCTTGATGTGAGAGCACTTACCAGTAGAGGTACGGTTTTTCGCGTTCGATATTAACAGAGTTGATGGGGTCTAGGCGGAACCATGTGGTGAAAGTAAATCCATTCTCGTGTGGCCACTTTGCCAGCGGCGGCAAGACAATCGCCTGTGGGGATGACACAAAACGATTTTCTCATCAAACTGTTCCATGAAATTAAAACTTGCGGTGACGAGTAATTACATTGCGCAAATAAATCAATCTTCGTAACGGACAAAACCCTTCGAGTTAAGCACAAAGATTTAATTAATAATTTTTAATTATCTTTTTTTATCGAGTACTGCAAATTATATTTTTCTTTGAGTAATAATTTGTCTTTACATGCAGATAAATTTTGAAAAAGAAAAATATTTATTAAACGAAAAAATACGAATAAATTATTATTGCTCAGAAATTTTATTACTAGTGATTAATAGTTTTGAGTACTTGAATTATAGTATTACTAATATTTCAAAGTAATTCAGTAATTACGGCGACAGTGATAATCACTGATGTATTATAATGATTGAGTTTTTGTGGTGAATTTTTATGATGTATGAATTATTTACCTGATAATAAAAAAAACCATAAGTTTTCTCATGATTAATATAAATTGTTTCATATCTTGTAATTTTCAAACTAACTCATTGTGAATGATACGTCAACTTCACATACATCACTTTGTTCTATATTATCACAAAAAATGCCAAATTGTGGGACGTAAGACTTTCCACCACTTAACTGTTATTGCATGCGTAACTTATTCATGTAGTTAATTGAAACAAAGCTGATGTCGCTGACATGAGACTTGTCGAAGTTAGATTACGTGCGGTTACGGAAAGTGAAGTGAACTGAACCGGCTCCCTACTAGCAAGCACAACTCCTTCGCGCTTTTCAGATGGTTTGGCCGGCTCGGTTGGTTTGATTCATTTCACTTCCCGCAAAGCTTCCCGCGAATCCATCTCGAGATTGATGTACGTAAACTTTACAACAACGTTAAATACAATAAGTCACGAAATATCGCAACATTAAGTTTCTTATCATTGATCTGATTGCATTCGTATTTATCACATAGGATAACTTTAACTTTAGAATTACTTTTAACTTATTACTTTAGAGCTGTTAAAAAAAAACTCCGAAATTCTCAATAGTTTATGATTTTCCGCAATATCAACTTCATACACATAACAAGGAAATTCTATATTACCACGTCTTATATTTTTAAATCTTATACAGTGGGTGTAAAAGTGATGTTTTTATTTGCAACTTTTGTTCATAGGACTAAAGGACTTCTACATAATTTGAATTAATGAGCTTAATTTTCTTACTTTTCATAAGGCATTTTTTATTTTCATTTTTTACTTATGATTTTTACATTCAAAAGAATTTAATAAAAAAAATTGTTTTAACATCAACAACTTTATAATAACACAAAAAATAAGTTCCTTTTATGCTTGTTTTATATTACTGTCTTATTTTTTAAGATCTCACTTCTTGCGCTATGTTAAAAAAAAATGTTGTGAACAATTTACTTTTTTCTTAATAATTATGAATAGATTATAAGAGATACATTTTCTAACACTTTTGACAGTTACTAAAGCAATTATTGCATTTAATATTGAATTTTTCGTTTAAAACAAAAAGGTGATCCACATTGCCCCCTTTTCTCTTAGTAATAATTCGCTACATAATTACTGAACCATTGAATAATCATTACTATTTTCGTGAGAGATAATATTCACAAGTACACTGCAGATAAAATACTGCAGGTCTACTGGCAAGGTACAAATTATTATAATAATTGATATCATAACTATTACAATTATAATTATCATATAAATAAGTTATAAATTTTTCTAAATATCTTACCTTAAAATAAGTTGATATCAAAAAATCGATGTTATTCTTCTCATACTTAAGTCTTTTCTCACTATTTTTATATTACATTTAATGATTATGTTGTTAATTTAAAATTTTTTTCTGTGATTCGATTCGATTTTGATGAAATTTTATTGATTCGATTTGGATTCAAAAACAAAAAATAAGATTCGATTTAATTCGATATAAAGAACCTTGATTCGCACATCTCTAATATACAGTAAATTTATATATCATTGAGTTACTAAATAAATCTGATCAAATATTTCGTTTAATGTTGTTTTATATAAATTTTTGCTTCTCAGTATGAATATACTTTAGTCGCACAATACAAATTTTATATATTATACTATTAGTATGCTATATTATTCGACAAAAATTTTCTGTACTTGAAAGAATAATAGGTATACGAAACATAATGCGTATCTATTGTTTTTTATATTCTTATAAAATTATCTATTGCTTTTAATTGGAATATCCCTTATTCAACTCTTCCCCATCTTTATTACATTCCACAACGGACGTATGTCGCTTGTATGCAGTAATGATGTTTGTGGAAGTTCCTTATCGTGATTGATTTCGAAAATACACGTGGATAGCAGAATCTTACGCGGCAAGGTAAATTCTCTTATCGGAACTTTGATAGAGTTTAGAATCGAACGACGTCCTCCGGGATGTCGTAAAGTAAGAAGTATCTGTTCTAAAGTATAAGGCGAATAAAGAAAAGAAATCAACTTACCGAACCTTTCCTACCAGGGAAACTGAAAAATACATCGGGCCCGTTTCGTTGTGGCATTTGGCGAAGGACGTTTAACAGTTTCGCCGAATGCCGCGGCTATGAAAATATATATCATTATGTTAATAACTGTTAATATATTCTCACGATAAAATCTTGAGTTCTCGTAACGCGCGTATGATTATCGAATAACTTTTGAATAATTCTTACCCATTTTCCCTTGACAGCTTTCATAGCGCCAAATAAAAGTTTCAATTCTTTCACCGTTATACTGTAGCTTGCCAGCACTCCCAGCATATCGATTAATAAATCTGTCGCAATGTTTAAGCATAGTTTAGACATATTATTAAATAATGTAATTTTATATTGGGTGGTCCAAATCGAACGCTTTGAATATTTCACTTATTTTTGATGATACGGAAAAGTGTTTCAGATGAAAGTAGAAGGGTGTTGAGGGGGACATTTTTTGGTCACGTTGCTTTTTTCAGGTGAAGGTGCTAAAAAGATATGAAGGTTACCTTCATTTTTTTCAATGGAATTATAATTTTTTTTATAAATATGATTCCTCTATTTATTTTATGTATAAAAATACTAAGAAGTATAATTGTCGAAAAATCAATAGTTTATGATAATATTTTATACTTTATTCTGACAAAAAATTTAGCCAAGGAGATATTCAAAATGATGTCCTCTAACTTCAATACATTTTCGGATATGATACATAAATGATATTTTTTCATTTCTTATCATTTCTGAATTTATACTCGCACATGCTTCCAAAATACGTTCTTTTATGTTTTCTTGAGTAGTCGATACATAATTGAAAACAATGTTTTTCAACGTTTCCCAAACAAAAAGTTAATAAGATTTAAATATATTGGAATCGGAAAATGTATTGGTCGAAGGATATCATTTTGAATATCTCCTTAACTAAATTTTTTGTCAGAATAAAGTATACAATATCTCGTAAACTATTGATTTTTTGACAATTATACTTCTTAGTATTTTTATACATAAAATAAATAAAGAAATCATATTTATAAAAAAGTCATAATTCCATTTAAAAAAGTGAAGTAATTCTCATAGCTTTTTAGCATCTCCACCTAGAAAAAACAACGTGACTAAAATGTGTCCCCCTCGACACTCTTTTATTTTTATCTGAATCATTTTTCCGTATCATGAAAAATAAATGAAATATTTAAGATGCTCGATTTAAGTGAACCACCTTGTATATATATATATATATATATATATATATATATATATATATATATATATATATATCTAAAGAAAGGGGAAAAACAGCAAGTTTATGTCATGCATACGTGATAAGTAATTAAAGTTGTAACTACAAGATACAGCAATCCCTCATACGTTAATTTTGAGGGACTGCTGTGAATTATTTCCGTCTCAATCAGTGATAGCATAGCGCCAAGCTTAAACTAAACATTTACTTACCGGCGACAACAGTTTCCGCACGAGATAATCGGTGTAGAACGTGCTCTATGAGACTAACATCCGTACACGCTTGTAAGTTTCTGACGCTCTTTCTCAGAATTGCGATAAAGACACTCCATATCTCGGCCTGAAACAAAAATATTGCACGTGCATACGTTACTAAACGCACTTAAAACTTATTAAGGTTACTGAATTAAGGAAAAAAGAAAATAAAATTCGATTGGGTTTCGTTCAAGTAAGCCGTGTAATTAATAATTCAGCTCAAATAGAATTTCATTGCACATAATGACGTTACCGTCGTAAATCGTTCGTTAAAGTCGCGTAATAGAGAGATGGAATATTGATTAAAAGCATAGCGCGTTTATTATTAGTCGCATATTTGCACGAAAATATTACTTCCGTCAAAAACATTGGTTAATAATAGGAATTTCATTAGCGTTAATTTTTAATTTTAGCTTTATTAAAAATCACGCGCATTATTAACGTAAATTATATTTCACCGTAGAATATGAGAATTATATTCATTCATTAGCATATTTTACAATATTATCTGTTATTTTACACAATAATATAGTAATAATTCTCTGATAATATAAAATAATATTATTAAAAGAAATTCATTTCCATCTCTTTGTGCGGCCGTATACAGTGATATAACATTAAAATAATCTCACATAGCAACGTTCTTTTCGATTCGATTAACTGAATTGTTCCAACAGACAGGAAATCCAGTAATGTCTTTGTTATAAATAATGGCTTGCCAATTACGTCTGGCAAAAACTATTCTGAAGGGGTTCTCCAAGCCGAGTGAAGTGGTAGTGGTTTTACGTCGAAGCGAATAAAGGATGGCTTAATAAAACCGCGCACTCACTCCGCGAAGAAGAAGTTAATGCACTAAAGAGGTTTTTTGTAAGCAATCGCAAATAATTCACTTGGACATTCTGTGCAAATACAATACACAAACCTTCCTCGTGGAAGATGTTACTTAATACGACTAGGTAAATGTATAAAGTGTCAAGGGAGACGTGCCGCAGGTCCAAGGCGCAAGGAAGTCGTCAGACAAAATAGTAACTATTTCAATATACAAGCGGCATCATCCGGTAAGCATGTTTACGCGCGGCGCGGGTCAACTTCTAGCGGGGCTCGCAACAGTTCATCCTCGAATTATTATACTCCGGGATAGCCGGACAACCGCATACAACCGACGCAAGTGAGATCAGCCAAGCGGCGCCGAACGCAGTTCGTGTACCCGCGTAATCCCTTGCTGATATGCAAGGTAGGCCACGATGCGAGATAACTACGGGTGCGGGGTAACCGCCGAATAGCGGAGAAATCCCGAAAATGCCGCTGGAATTCCCCCAGTCGGAATTTCGGCTCCGCGCGGACCGGAGTTTTAGCGAAGAGAAGTTATGGGCATTCGGATAATTCCGGAGTAATGATCTCGCTGCTATACACTTGGTCGGCTTACTACATTGAAGTTGCGGACGAATTTGCTGAGCAAAGGCAAAAAAAAGCGAGAGGGAGGAAGGGGGAGGGGGAAGAAAGAGGGAAGAGAGTCGTACTGAATAATATCGTGGAAGCTTTTGGCTGTCGCTCGACCGTGATAAATTACCCTGAATCGCAAGAGCAGTGGTTAGTCAAGTTGATCTCCAAGCTGGGTATCTCGTCTTCGCGCTAAAAGATGTTGCTTATCTATCCTCTTAGATGTTGCGCCTCGAGACAGTTCCGCGAGCATTTCCCTACGACCTCAGGATATTAATGTCGGCTTTGCGATGCCGCTTTACGACGCGTCCGAGAAAAGTATTTTCTCGTTGACCACGCGCGAGTCATGTTCGTTTTATTAATGGCGGCCATTTGAATATTCGCGCTCGATGAGACGCTGAGATATATAGACGAGAGTCCGGAATGGAAATTAGAGTCCTATATTAAAAGAGAAACGCAACCTTCTCTATGATTACTTTCCCCATTATGCAACTAAAGTCCTTCGTTTGTTAACAAAATGGCCTTTATTTACTTGATACATTCGCAGTATAAGTTATATTACGATATGAATATAGGCAACATACATGTGTAATAATAAGACGTTCTCAAAATGGCTTTTTGATAAAATAATGAAATTATCCCGATGAAAAATTTTTTATGCAGAATTATATATAATCATATACAATTATACATAATTATGTATAATTACATATAATTGTATGTACAATTATATATATAATTATACATGATTATATATAAGTATTATCTATATTATATATATACATATATATATATTTCTTTTTTAAATATATATAATTAAATATATATATTTAATATAATAATTATATATAATTATATTTTATATAATTTTACATTATTATATATAATTGTGTATAAAATTTGTTCATACAAATTTGTTAATATTTATATTTTTTAATTTGTTAATTTGTTAATACAAATATATACTTATATATTATAATCATGTATAATTATATATATATAATATATAATTATATATATATATATATATATATATATATATATATAACAAATTAAAAAATATAAATATTAACAAATTTGTATGAACAAATTTTATACACAATTATATATAATAATGTAAAATTATATAAAATTTTATATAATTTTCATCAATTAAAGACATCCAGCGATACTGTATGCAGCACAAAAACTTAGACGGATTTTTAATTTTTTAGAAACAATTATTTCATATTTAAAACAATGATAAATAATATGGTCAAAACCTTATATTGATACCTTTATTAACTTTTTTTAAAAAATTCGTAAAAATTAATTTTTTTGCTATCTAAGGCGGGATCTTAAGATTGTTTATTTTGAATCAATACTGCAACACACACTTTGCTCCTTTTCTCTTCACAACTAAATTATATACTTATTTCACTCTAATGGCAAAAAATGTAACCATGTTCAGCTAAAAAGAACAGACCTTTGACTGTATTGGCTAGAAAATTTTTAGGGTCACGAACATTTTATCAGGTGAATTTTCTATACTATTATTAACAATCCGATCAAAGCGTTCGATAAATTTATCGTGCGATATTTGAAATTTCCAACTCGATTGTCATAAAGACAGAATGCGAACATGCTGATATTTTGAATCGCGGCATTCGCGTTAGGGTAAAGTGGGTGTAGAATGTATTCGCGCGCGAGTCGTCAATCGAAAACAGCGTGTTTACTGACACGGCGTGAAGCATGTGCGTGTTCGACGAGGCGTTTTTCTAGCGGACGTTTTCTGCGAGAGAATATTCTAACTGAAAGGTATATCGAATGTACATGATCGCGTATCCTCTATCATCCGGCCGCAAACGTTAAAAGTTGAAATAACAGTGTAACGCTCGTTTCAGCTGACGAGACGGCAACGTTTCGCGACGAGTCAGTGGCGGACATCCTCGATGGCCAGCGTATCGACAACAATCACCATCCCGTGAGTAATATTATTGTTTCGTAGCCATGTATGCTGAGTATTTTGCGGTGGTGACGGGACGGACACGATGAAACTACGAATATCCAACGTTCGCGTCCGTCCAGCCGTCCACGATAATACACGCATAGGCCGACTTGATAAATCACCGACGTGGCGCCGTGCAAATGTGTCTCGTCGTTCGTCATCTTTTGTACTTGCGCTGGCTCTCATCTTTCTCTCCATCCTCCCCCTCCCCGCTTCTCTTTCTCTATCTCCCTCCTTCTGTCGTAATAAAATGACAAATGGCCGGTTGCACAAGTTGATACACTCGATTTGTTCGGCTATACGTATGGTGGAATTTACTTGCCGCTAAAGTGTGATAGATGTGAGAAAATATTTAGTTCATACAGCAACGTGCAGTTGAATAACAGCGTACAGAAAACTCGAAAAACGATGAGCCACATTGAGATAGTCGGAATCGAAATAGATGGCATAAAGTACACTCGGCGTTTTAATAACGAGAGTTTAATGTGTTCGCGATAGTCGTGATCTATTCAGTCATAAATCTACTAGCCTGATTCCATTGATTCCTGCAAGAAGCGGATTGAGAATACATTCGATTGATTTTTCAGTAATCTCTCTTTTCTCTCTCTCTCTTTTTTCGTTTCTTTTTCAATTATATATAAATGACTATTGTATTTTTACTTCATATTCAATTTCAACAATTTAATAACACACTCATGTATTTTTCCGAAAAAAATATCGATCAGGATAAACCAATGTAGAGAAGAAACTAATATTTTAATTTGAGCAACATATTATTTTGATAGCAAATATTAGTAAATTCGATGCTGTATGGGTATATGTGTATGCGTGTGTGTAAAATTGTTTCCGTATATTTTCTAGATGGAATATTAATACACTCATGTGTGGGGAATGTGAAAAATATTCAAAAAATTTAATTATTCAAGTTAAACACTTTATTTTTTTTCGACGTCACCAGGAGGTAGCTGTTAAAGTTTGCAATATTCAAAACTATCATACTACGTTTACGACACAATTTTTGCAAATTACATAAATCAGCGTTGCAATTTAAAATATCATTGAATTGGAAATAACCAGTTGTTGAAATATATACTTATCTAGGAAATGAAGAAATTGAAATACAATGATGTTTTGGAACTAGCCACTTGTTTGACTTATAAATACATTATATATTCTCGTTTGACTTCATACACGTACGAGACTTCATTAATCAATACGAGAGAAAGAGAAGCAGAGAGAAAGAAAGAATGTTTCAAATGTTATCATAGATAATATGAAATGTTTTATTAAGTATTCGTAAAGTATTTATTAAGTATTTATTAATCGTATATTTTGTTTTGTAATAACCAAAATACGAACATGCAATAACATAGCCGTCTTATTATGGTATCGAATTTAGTTGCTCAGTAGTGCAGGGTAAGAAGGTCGTGTATAAAATATGTATCCTGATTAGTAGTTCCAGTCTCCACGGGAGGTCTCCTGCCGGCCTTTAATCATGGGCTAACCTTTATCTCGTCCGCCTACATGCTCTATTTTAATAATTTTATGAATGAAAATTGCATTTATTCCAGAAACAATATATCATATATTTGCAAAAAGTTTAATTTTAACTAGTAACACTTCGTTTAATTTTATTGAGTCACGATGAATATCAATAC